TCTCGTCTTTCTACAGTCTCTCATTTTCCTTGTCCCTGACCTCCAGCATCCCCTTGGGCCTGCCCTACCTTGTGCCATGGTGGCTGCTTCTGGTGCCCCGGCTGCTCCCCACACAATAGCAGGATGGCCTGGAGCTTCAGGAAACTGGTCCTGGGATGTCTGCTTTCCCTTCCATCCCCAACACTCCAGGAGACACTGAAGGCGGGGCTGGCTGTTACACAGCCACTTGCTTACTGGGCAGATCCCAACTGGTTTTCTCACTTGCCCTCAGGTTTTTCTTGGCAGTGTTCCTTGGCTAAGACAGTGTCATGGCCAATAATCTGTCAGGGCCTTGTGCTATGTGGGCCTTTACTAGCTCTTAGGCGATGGGGTATTCTCTGGCAGGTGCTGTACTGTGGGAGCCAGGTGGGAGAGGTAAGCTGATAGGGATTCTAGGGTCATGGAGAGAGGCTGCACTCCTGCAAGAAGGAGTATCGGGAACCCAAGCCTAGAACTCTTCTTGGCACCTGGCCCTCTCTTTAATCCTAAAGAGTCACTTCCAAGACATCAAACAGCACAGCCTGTTCTGGATCGCTTCGGTATGATTTGTTTGGTATTTGTTTTTCAGCAGAGGTATTGTCTTGGGTGAGACCTGCCCAGTCCGAGGTGACTCTCAAATAAAAGCAATAGAGGAAGAAAACTTGGGAAGATTCACGGAAGAGTTTTGGAAACAGATGAAATAGTGGAACTGCCAGTGAGTAACCTTGATTCTAGTGACAAAAATACAAGTCCTTGGAGTGAGTGTGTAAGGAAAAAAAGAACAGAGACAAAAGGGAGGAGGGCTCTTCACAGGGACTGGGTGGGATGCTGGGAAGTACCCTGCACCCACATCCACCCTCTCTTTCCCTCCTGTGGGACACTTCTCCCTGCGTCCCCTTGTTTTCTGGGTTCCTTATCCTCTCTTCTCAGGAGCTTCAGTCACCAGCTTCTATCCTCTCTCCTGTATTTTTGACTCTCTCTGTCCCCAATCATATTTTAAAATATGTTTATACATGTGCAATGTAGAGTTCACTGCCTAACACACCCTCACCTACACTCACTCCAAAATGAAACTCCTTCCCTTTCTCCTTCTTCCTGCATCTCTGGTCTTAGTGAGTGAGGATAGTGCACACCCAGTCACTCTAGGAGAAACCTGGGTACCACCTCATTCTTCTCTATCTTCCTGACTTCCCTTAGCACATCAGTCACTAATCCCTGTCCAGTCCAACTCCTGACTCTCTCCTAAAACTGGCCCTTCCCTTCCATGCCCTTGGCCCTGCCTTCACTGAAGCTTCCTCTTGCCTGGACAACAGCTCCTAATAAGCTTCCCACCCATCCTTTTCCCAAATGAGTTGCCGAAGTGTTTTTTTCTGAAGTGCTAGTTCAGCCAGGCTGCTTAAGATCCAACAGCTGGGTTAAGTGCAAATTTGTCAACATCAGCCCCAAAGCCCTTTAGGATCTTTCCCTGCTCACCTGGAGTCCGGTCAGGCAAACCCTGTCAGTTAAAATTTGATGGAGACCTGTTCTCCCACACCTCTGCCTTCTCACCTGGGTTGGTCTCTCTCTTTTTGAAATGTTCTCCTCTCACTTGCCTACTTTTTTGTATCTGGGATCAAGCATTGCCCCCTGGGAAAGACTTCCTGACTCTCTCTTCCACACTAGGCTTTCGGGGTTCCCCCTTTTGTGTTTCCTATCAGCTTACTCATACTCCACATTGTAAATACTTACCTGTCTTTCCCCCAATCCTCCTAAATGGCATGGCCTGTGGCTTACCAATATACCCCCAGTGCTTAATAATGACAGTGGCTAACAGTAGAACTAGTAACAGCTTTTACCTTCCAGACACTGTTTTAGTTATTTACGTGCATTATCCCACCTAATCTTTACACCATCCCTATGAGTTAGGTACTATTACTGCTTGTATATTACAAATGAGGAAGTCAAGGTTTAAAGACATTAAATAGTTTTCCCAAGCCACCCACTAAGAACTGGTGGAGCCAGATTTGGACAAAGACGGTCAGACTCCGGAGTCCTATGGAAGTGCTCAATGCAGTACTTGAAGCATGGCTGGTGCTCCAGTTTCTGTTTGTTGACTGATGGAGTGAGTGAATTAAAAAATGACCCATGCATGAACAAATGGGTAAAGGCCCAAACCCATTGTCACACTAGCTGAGATGGAAAAGAGAAAGAGACAGGGGCAGGTGAGCTTAATTGTGAGGGGAGACAGGAAGGAAGTGAGTGCAGCTAAGACAGGCAGGTCTGGAGAGGTACCTATTTCACGGCTTGGGGCTAATGAGCTGACTTACAGGTTCAGCCTGTCATTTGATCCCTACAAACCATTAGTGAGTGGGATGGGGTGTGCTGGGGGACAGAGGCAGGTCTGATCAGAGCAGCTTGTCTCTTGGTCCAGAGTCAGGGAGGCAGAGGAGAAGCTGAGCAGAGTTGATGAGTAGCTTTCTGACTGAACAGGAGCAAGGCTGTGATTCACAGGGAAGGGGCACAGAGCAGACCCTGGGACATTCAAGGAGGAAGGTGTGGAGGCACCTGTCATCCCTGAGGCAGGCTATCTCTGGCAGGTGGGGGTGGGGAGCTTCCAGACCCTTATAAGATGCAGAGAGGCTAGGACACTAATCCTGGCCCTGCCATGAATGCCTGGTGTACCATTAGGCCATTTCCAGCTTCCTTGTCTGTAGAATCAGGGTCCTTGGCTCCATGGGTGCCAGTTCTGAGGACAGGGTGGGGAGGCTTCCCACTGGCAATTGCAGAGGGAATTCAGAATTGGAAGATCCAGGCAGGTTCTTTGTCTCCTTCCTCCTCCCAGCCCCTGAAGCGGAGGCAATCACCTAGGAGAGGTGATTAAACCACTCAGAGGGCCTCTGCACATGAATGCACTTCACTGTTTACAAAGCTCTTCAGGACACACTTTCTCACTGGATCCTCACCGCAGCCCTCTGAGGGAAGGAAGGGCTGGCACTGCTATTATTATTGATATCATTTTGCAATGTGGGAGCCAGGGTCACATCACACCATGAGGGAGCCAGAACTCTGTCAAGAGCTCTTTGCTTTGTCACTGTACACTGAATAGCAGAGAGATCCCAAAACTATCAGCCGAAAGGATATGAGGACAAGGTCTCCATGAATGCCACAGGGGATGGAAAGACCAGCAATCATTTGACAAGAGTGCTGGCCTGGTTTGTGCCTCCTAGCTCCACAGCCTGCAAATTTCTTTTGCCAGAGTTTGTCTTTGGGCACAACTGCATGGCCAGGTAGCAGCACGGGTTTGTTTTGAGATGTGGGGGGAGGGTGAGGACAATGAAGCAGAGCTGTTCAGAACCTAAATGCAGGATGCTTGGTGGCAGTGGGCATAAACCCTGGCATCCTAGGCCCTGGGATGTGAGAGCTGGAGGGGAGCTCTGAGATTGTCCAGCTCTTCTGACCAAGGCGGGAAGTGAGGCCAGCCAGGCTTGCCTACATGAAAAAAAGAAAAGAAGAAAACACAGAAGAGTACATTTTTAAAGCCACTTTTCAGTTGGGGAGAGGAAATATTTGAAAGGTCACCTGGAAGGCAGAGATGGCTAATATCCCGTGACCCCGGGAGCCCAGTAGAAAGCCAGCCCACAGTGACACAAGTGACACAGCCAAGGAGCTTTGCATCACCAGGCGGGAGAGGCAGGGACTGAACAAAAGAGGACCCACCACTCTGTAAATGGAGCAAGATTTCAGATTTCCGTAGGAACCAGTCCAGGCTCCAGGTCTTCCGTGGGTGGGCAGGGAGCCACCTGCAATGCAGCAGTGACAAAACAGTAACATATCCCCATAGAAATGCCCATGACACTTAATGGGGACAGGTGCAGCTGCACTCAGGGTGGAGTGTGGGTGTGCAGGTGCCTGCCCTTCTGCCTGAAGCAGCCTGTGAACACAACAGAAATCCAAAACAGAAAGGGGGAGGAGGAGGGAAGAGGGTGGTGACAGCAGCCAAGTGAACTTACAGAGTCACTGAGCAAGTGAGGAGTGGAGGAAGAAGCCATACCCGAGAAGCCACAGGCGGATGTGCTCCTCTCTGTGTATCTGGGTGGCCTTGATTTTCCATGATGGAGAGGTGTCAATCTGTAATGATTGCTTTATTTTCATTGAGTTACAATTGGCATATAGGACTGTGTGAATTTTAGGTATACGACATGTTCATCTGATACACTCGCAGCAATATGATGACCACCATTAGAAACACTCCTGTCATGTCACATAATTCTTTCTTTTTTGGGATGAGAACATTTAAGATCTGCTGTCTTAGTAACTTTGAAGTACATGTATGGTACAGTATTGTTAACTAGTGTGTAGACAGTATCAATGCTGTACACCAGATCTCCAGAACTTACTCTTCTAACTAGAGGATTGTATCTGTTAGCCAGCATCTCCTCATGTCTCCCATCCCCAGCTCCTGGCAACCACCCACACTCTGTTTCTACAAGTTCAGCTTTTTCAGGTTTCACATACAGGCATACCTCATTTTATTGTGCTCTGTTTGACTGAGCTTCACTGATGTTCTATTTTTTACAAATTGAAGGCAAGACCTTCCACCAGCAAAGAGATTACAACTTGCTTTACTGCACTCCAGCTACCAAGTGCTTCCCAGTTATACTGGGGCCACCCTGAGTGGACCCTGCCCAGCTGTCCCCATGTTCTCAGGCCAGCAGCAGAGAAGCCCTGCCAGGCAGCTTCTGGCCAGTCCCCGTAGCACTGCTGTCATGGTCCTCCCCAGACCTCCCTTTAGCCTCTGCCTGCAGGCTCACAGTTTTAGTGGAGACACTGCGATCCTTGATTCCGGAGAGGCTGATTTAGGGGAATCATATTGGGCTTATTTTTTGCATGGTCCCTTAAAGGAAGAGAGAGAGGACAAGGGCAGGGAGGGCCCAGCTGTATGGCAGGCAGTCCAGAGGACAGGCTGGTAGTGATAAGTACCTTGTAAGACAGAACACCAGTGATCAATCAAATACATCTTTATTATCTCTTCCCAAGATGCACAGTGTTCTAATGGAGCTACATTCACCCCTAGGCAGGCAGGGAAGAGAAGAGAGAAGGAACAACTACACCTTCAGGAGTAAAGTGGGGCAGGCAGGGGACTGGGAGGTCATGGGTGCAGGGGAAGGACCAATTGCAAGAGGTCAGGGAAGGCATCAGAGGGGTGGAGGGGGCTACTGGAGGGCACCAGGAAATTGGGCCAGGGGAGGGGAGGGCCTGAGATGAGGGGTGGTCAAGAAGCTCTGGCTGCAGCTACGGAGATGTCCTTGTAACCCTTGATCTCCTTGACTTCATTGCTGCTGATGAGGACTTGCAGCTGGCGGCGTCCGGCTTTAAAGGGGTAGAGGACCAACTGAATTTGGGTGGTGTGTCCGGCCACCAGAGTTCCAAGGCTGAAAGTGAAAAGGAGCTCGTTAGAGCCCTGAGGGGTAACTGGTGGGATGGGTAATCCGGTTTCCCCCCTTGGTTGGGAAGCACTTCCCACCTCCCCACACCACAGGGCCAACCTTCCCTGAGGAGGGTGGGAAGATGGGTACACAGAGGCAGCATTCAGGAGACCAAAGACTGTCCCATGACCCCACAAGGAACCACCTGTCAGAGACCAGCATAAGACAGGTGAATGGCGATGGCACTTACTCATATGATAACTGCCCGTGGATGAGGCCACTTCCCTCCAGCACCATCGTACAGTGACTCAGAGCCACTGTTCGGGTGTTGGTGAAGGTGACATGGACTCTCAGTGCTTTGCCCACCTCGGCCCTCTCAGAGACCTGTGTGGGGAGAAGACAGGGATGTTGCAGGCAACCGACCTCATTTCTGCACTCCAGTAACCTCACTCCCCCATCCCTCTGTTGACCACCAGGGACTGTTTATTTAGACCTAAAACACTGAAGTTGGGAGAAAAGAATATGAGCTGAGAGTATTCAAGGTTAACACACACGCTGTCTTAGAAGGAAACCAGCATTGATTGGAAATTGGCGCCAAGTTGAACTCTATTTCCCTCTCTATCATCTAGTTCAGAATGGCAATTAGATCTCAATCTCAGTGCCAGCTCCAATCTAACAGGAAAGCTGTGTTAAAAAGAAGCACATACATTGTACTCCAATGAGGACATCAAAGTAGAGCGGGTAAAAATAACTTTGGAATCCAACATAGTCACACAAATCATCCCCAGGTCCCTTACTGATGGGGACCAATTAATAGCCTAGTTGGCATCTGATGTGTTGCATTGGATCCTGTTGGAACCAGGCTTCAGGTAGCGGGCAGGGCTCTCACCTCAGTACCAGGCTGACCGCTTGCGATTCTGCCCACTGTTGGTGAAGGCTGCCTGGCATCACTTCACCTGAGAGCATGCCCAGGTGAAAACCAGCAGGTGGCCAGGTAGTTTATGACATGGAGTCACTCAATTCTCATTCTGGGTGGGGATGGGGTGTGCTGTTGGGAAGCCACGAGCTGCAAAGCCAGGTTGTGACTAGGCTCAGGGGAAGTCTTTTAGAGTGAGAGGGGAAAGTGGGGAAGGAGCTTCTGGGGAAGGAAACCCTGGTAACAGGAGATGGGGAACATCCTGCCTGCCTGCTTCCCTTTACCCTTCCTTCACCTGTATTCCTCCCTCATCCAATGGCCTTGCCAGCTGCTCAAGCACCTGAACTCAAAATCTCAGGCTCACCTTTCATTTGTTTCCCTCCTCCTTGTCACCCCCATCTTATTAGCAGTCACATTTTGAATTTCACTTGTGGTCTCTCCCTCTCAAACCTCCTTGACTCCGTCTCCCAATTGTTGTCTTTCTTGCCTCTGCCTCTGCAAAGCTACTTCCTTACTTAAAATGCCTTCATCTCTATCTCATACGTCTGTATAGTGTCTTCCTGTATTTACATTCCATTTGAATCTTCTGTAAATGTCACCTCCTCTGGGAAGCCTACATGCTCTGTCCTGTGCTTTGTGGCAAGCACAAAAGATCACACCACATTGTGCTTTGTCCACTGAGTGGACACTCAGTGTTGGGACAGAAACCGTGTCTCTTACTGCCATACCCCCAAGCCCTGGGTTGGATGAGTCAGAGGGCCCTGGCCTGGGTCCCAGCGGTGTGCAGACGCTTACCTCAATAGATAAGTGGGGAGGTTCCAGAGAGATATCTTTTAGGACCAGTATGGACCTCCCCGTCCCCTCCACCTCAGCGATGCCAGACACACGTATCAGCCTTTCATCCGTCAGCTTGTTTCTATAATTGATGTAGGGTAGCAAGAGCGGCCACTGTATCTCTGAGCACAGATAAAAGACATCTTGAGTCTGGGGAATGGGTCTCAGAAAGCAAGGGGATAGAAAGAAACGTGCGTGTGAGAGGAAAAATTCGTTTGGGTGTGAGAAAGAATAAGTGTGTGAGTCTAGATGGGTGTGTGAAAGTGTATGTGTGTGTAAGAGAGAGATAGCGGGCTTGCCCTGCCCCTGTTGCACCCAGAGGTCGACTCTACATTTCACCTGGTGGGATGTTATCAGAAGTACAACACTTGGCAACCAACCTCCTGCCAACAGCAGCTTCACTGCCCAGTGAGTATATGTGCATGTGTGTGCACTGGGGAGATGTAGGGGTCTCTGTGCGATCTGGCTGGTCCAGCCCAGCTTTCTTCATGGCCCCAAGGTCCCCCTCCCCTGCTGTAGATAACTTTCCAAGCCTGCCTCATACTCACCCTCCCCAAAGTCCAGGTTTAAGTGCACTATTTGTCTCCAGAGGGGCTCCCGAGCGCCACCCTTGTGTAGCAGGGCCTGTGCGCAGAAGCGCACCTGAAGCCTGATGGGACCCTGGGGATGGGCTCTGTTTGGCACCCTCCTGGCATGCAGCTTCAGCAGCAGGTCCTGGCCCCACTCAGGTGTCCTGGCCAGGCGAAGCTGCAGCTGCGCTGGCTGATCCTGAGAATCCCTGGACCTCAGCAGATCCAGCAGGGGTGAAGAGGCCCTTCTGGAGCCCAGCATTTTCTTGGATGCCTTCATGAAAACAGACCGCTCCTCAGGGGATCCTGGCAGAAAGGACAGAGGAAAAACTTCAGTGGGAGTGGTCAAGGGGCCAATGACTGTCTTTAGGAAACAAGCCATTGGCAGCTCCCAGCTCCCCTTCTGAATCCCTAACCAGAGGAATAGCTATGTCAGGAGGCAATGCAGCATTGTGGCTGAGAACATGGGGAGTGGTGTTGCTTGGTGCTGAATTTAAATCCTTCCTCTTTCACAGTCCTCTAATCCCTCAGAGCTCAGCTGTCATTTAGAGCCTGGGGCTATCTCCTTGCCTCATAGAGTTGTCAAAATTGGGGTTAAATGAGTTGTTCTTTGTCAACAATATTGCCACTGTTGTCATTATCATCATCATCAATGCCAGAGGCTTCTCTCTCCCACCAGCATCCTCACTTCTAAAATACATGCTCCAGGACCTGGCTGGTATGGCTCAGCGGACTGAGCACTGGCCTGTGAACTGAAAGATCACCAGCTCAATTCCAAGCCAGAGCACATGCCTGGCTTGGGGGCAAGGTCCCTGGTTATGGACCTGCAAGAGGCAACCAACTGATGTTTCTCATGATCATCCATGTTTCTCACTCTCTCTCCCTTCCCCTCCCTCTGAAAATAAATAAATAAAACATTTAAAATATATAGGTATATATATATATATATATATATATATATATATATATATATATGCTTAAGCCTTTTAAATAGAGCTTCATCTGTTGCCGGTAGGGGCTATTCAACATTCAATCTTAACCCCAACTCACTCCAAACTGCAGACCCCTCTAGAATATTTACTGAGCACCAGAGCCACTGATCCAAGTAGTTTCCGTGTACTAACTCATCAAACCCTTACAACAGCCATCTGAGATACAGTTAACCCATTTTACAGATGAGAAAGTAGAGGCACGGGGATGATAAGAATGTGTCCAGGCTTATACATCTAGAACGTAGCAAGCCCTTGTTAGTACCCAGGCAGCCTGACTCCACCCTGGCCTTCTCCACGGGACGTCTACTCCCTTCCACAGGCCTGGAATCCCTTTCCTTCCCTGAGCATCCGCCTCTGCCCTTGCTGCCACCCCCACCGCCATGACAGGAGCCTGTGGTGTGACCCTAGGATAGGGTTGCCAGGTAAAATCAAGGACATTCAATTACATTTGAAATTTAGATAAACAACAAATAATGTTCAGTATAAGAATATCACATGCAGTATTTGAGACATACTTGTACTAATAAAAAAATTTTTTTGTCTGAATTTATCTAGAATTCAAATTTAACTGGGCACCCTTTATTTTAATTTGCTAAATCCAGCAACCCTGCCCTGGGGCCACATGGTCAGGACTCAGGAAAACCCTGGGAGTTTGCCATGAGGAAGCTTTTATGTGGTGATGATTTTAATGTGGGACCTAGCCCCACTGGGAGGCAACACAAAGGAGGTTATACCCACCACCCTCCCCAAACCCCCGGGCCCCAGGTACCTTCTGGGTACTTGTAGGAGCTGGTGATGTTCTGACGCTGGTCTGATCCTACCATCTTGGTGCTGATGTTGTTCCCAATGGAACGGGTATTATGCACCAGGATTTCCTGGGCCTGGCCATCCCCAAAGAGCCAAATGACTTCATCGGCATTCACCTCAGCATACACAAATGGGGTGTCATAGGGCAGGTGAACATCCCCTTCCTTGATGGCCCTCACGGAGGCAGGGCCACAGCAGAACAGCCCTGCACAGGGAACAGGAGTGGTGGACAGCTAACATGGCTGCTGACACGGGGACCAGGGCAGCTGGTCATGGTTGTGGGAAGTAGGGAGATGGGACAGGGAGGGGCAGTGGCACTAATGCCATCCTGCAGTTTCCATTAATTTAGCTGATTCCCACAGCCACCCTGTGAAGCAATGGTTAGCATCACCCTCCACTTTAAAGTGAGGAAACAACTGAGAGATCACCTAGCCTGTCAAGGTCAAAGGCAGACTCCTGACCCAAAGTGGTCCCTGCTTTGACTTTGGGAAGGGGAAAAAGAGGAAAAATACTTTCTTTTGGCCTCTTGCTCAGATGGCTTCACTCTGATCGTCCTTCCCCCAGAGCCCAGACCCTCCCATGGTGGTCCTCACTCACCGCTGCTGGTTTCCTGGGGAGTGGGATCCAGAACCTGCCACCCGTTGTATCCTGGTGGGAGATCTTTCCGGATCATCCAGCACTCATTCCAGACGTGGAAATTCCTACAGAAAGGAGGTAGATGACAAGGACTCACAGTTGTAGCAAATTTGCCAGGTATGAGACGCTACACTAAGTGCTTGCTGATATCATTGTTTCTTCTTCTCTTTTTAAAAAAAAATTTGTATTTGGAAGTAATTTCAAGCTTACAGTAGAGTTACACAATATTAAAAAAAATAGTACAAAGAGCACCCATAGACCCAATTCATAGACTGTTAACATTTTGCTCTATTTGCTTTATCATTGGCTTACTTTCAATATGGATATGGAGATTATATCTTTTCTTTTTTCTTTATTACTTCAGTGAATATTTCCCTGGAATAGGGATTGTCCCTTACATAATTTATACAGTTATCAATCTCATACATTTAATATTGATATGATAATTTAAAAATCTAATTTGCTGCCCTGGCTGGCATAGCTCAATGGATTGAGTGTGGGCTGCAAACCAAAGAGTCGCTGGTTCAATTCCCAGTCAGGGCACATGCCTGGGTTGTGGACCAGGTCCCCAGTGGGGGCCATGTGAGAGGCAACCACACATTAATGTTTCTCTCCCTATCTTTCTCCCTCCCTTCCCCTCTCTCTAAAAATAAATAAATAAAAATTAAAAATTTAAAAGTTAGTAAAAATAAAAATCTAATTTTCTGTCTATATTTCAATTTTGTCCATTGACCTAATAGTTATCCTTGCAAGGGTGTCCAATCTTTTGGCGTCTCTGGGCCACACTGGAAGAAGAAGAGTTGTCTTGGGCCACACATTAAATACATAAACACTAATGAAAACAAAAAAAATCTCATAATGTTTTAAGTAAATGTATGATTCTGTGTTGGACCACATTCATAGCCATCCTGGGCCACAGGTGACCCATGGGCAGCGGGTTGTACACCCCTGCATTATAGCATTCTTTCTTGCCCAGCCCAGAACCACACTTGCATTTAGTTGTCCAGGATCCCTTGTCTCCTCATTCTGGAACAGTTCCTCAGCCTTTGTTTTATTACACTGAAATTTGAATAGAGCATTTGTTTTACCAAAGTGGTCCTCATTTTTGGCTTATCTGGTGTTTCCTCATTATTAGATTTAGGTTAGGCATTCACAGTTCTATATGAGCGATATATTCTTCTCAGATACACACCTGCTTTTTTAAAAAAGAGATTTCATTTATTTATTTTTAGAGAAAGGAGAGAAGAAGGAGAAAGAGAGGGAAGAGAAACATCGTTGTGAGGGAGAAACATCGATTGGTTGCCTCTTGTGCAGGCTTGGAACAGGACGGAACCTGCAACCCAGGCATGTGCCCTGACTAGGAATCAAACTGGTGACCCTTTGCTATGCAAAATGATGCCCAACCAACCGAGCCTTACTGGTCAGGACCACCCCTGCTTCTTGGATCTGAGTAGTTTCAGCTGTCTAGGAGCTCAGAGAGAGAGGGCAGCTAGTTCTCAATGCAGCTCAAGGGCCTTACCTGGAAACTGGCTGGAAAGGGAAAAACAGAAAGTCAGATTTGGGTGAGAGCAGAGGAGAAAGGAACCAGGGAAAGAGACTAGAGTTCCGAAAATAAAGGGACATACAGAGATACACAGACACTTGTGCACACACAAGCACACATGCACACACACAATCAGAGTGTGAGTGAGGCAGGGAGAGGAGGAAGTCAAGAGAGACTGAAGGAAGTATGCAGAGGTAGGTCCCCTAGGCTTTGGCCTGACAGGGGAAACAGAGAATGGTGCAAGCAGAAAGACCCAAAACAGGAAGAATAAGACGATGCAGATTTTGAGGTCAGTATTCAGAGGTACAATCTAGTCATTTGCTTGTGGCTTCAGAATGTTATCCCATAGTCTTCTATCTCTGAAATGAGTTTGATGTGATGATCTAATTGGCCAGAACAGTCTCCTGGGTTGGGAACTTTTTTTCTGAGCAACAGCAACAACACACAGGGTAATGCTGCCTCACAGCAAGGGGGAACTAGGTCAGAATTTTCCTATCCTACCTGGGATAGAGCAGAGACCTGTTCAAGACAAGTGCCCCTTACCATATTTTGTCTCGTTCCGGAGTTGCCAGCATTTCTGCATTTCGATCATAGTAGGTATCTAAGGTCAAATTCCCATCCACATTGTGTGCAGAACGGAAATTGGAAACAATACGGGTTGGAACACCTAAACATCTCATTACTAAAGAGAAGAAAAGAATGGAGAATCACTGAGTTCATTTCAAGCTGAATCACTGGTATCCCAGGCATATTTTCTAACTTTCTTGCTGGAGGAGAAAAAGAAGGCCAAAATTCCTGCAGATCCATGCCTGTCACTCCTTCATTCTCAGAACACCACACCCAGGCCCAAAACCCTGCTGCCCTATTGATGGTCTCCATCTATCAGGACAAAAAAAAAAAAAAAAAGCATTTGATGGTCACTTAAAACAACATTTAATAGCTCAACTTATCATTTAGGGTTTCTTCTATTCATCAGCTTTCCAAATTAAAAACAAAGAATCTAGCCCTGGCTGGTGTGGCTCAGTGGTTGAATGCCAGCCTGTAGACTGAAAGGTCACTGGTTCAATTCCCTGCCAGGGCACATGTCTGGGTTGCAGGTCAGGTCCCCAGTTGGGGAAGCATGGGAGTCAACCAATTAATGTATCTTTCACACATTGATGTTTCTTTCCCTCTCTTTCTCCTTCCTTTCCCTCTCTCTAACAGTAAATAAATAAAAAAAATCTTTAAAACAAACAAGCAAACAAAAACCCAGAGGATATAAAACACTTTATAATTAGAAAGAAAATGTAAGAATTTAGGCCTCTGCTGTGGCCGGTTTCAGAAGAGAAGGTGTGTGACCTTAGGTAAGTGGCTTAACTTGTATGGGCCTTAGTTCCCTTGTATGTAACAAAAAGAGAAATCGAACCAGGTGATTCTCAGTTCTGGAATTCTGGATCTGTAATTCTACTGAAAGACAATGGTCTGGCAGAGGTAAGAAACAAATCCTAAGTGAACAGAGGAGCAAGATATACTTACAAAGGGAACATGCAAGTACAATGAGGCAATAACCATCTTTGTTAAAGCAACAGCATCCTCTTGTGGCTGTGAAGATGGTGCTACACAGGCTTTTGAAAGCTGAGTTAAGATTTCACAGATCTGCTCACACAAAGTGGACATTACACCACGGTGATCATCAACTCATACACACACACACACACACACACACACACACACACACACACACACCTGCCCAGGGTCAGATGAAATCAACCCAAGAGCCAGATGTGACCAAGGCAAGGAGTTCAGAGGGAGGTCATCCCACCCCTCTCTTGTTGGGGGTGAGGGGGAGCAGATGGTGCCTACAGCTCTGCTGGGAGGATTACAGTGCTTTGAAACGTAAAAGGACTATTGAGATTGATTGATCTTTTTTGTTTCTATTCATTCAAGAGCCTCAAAGAGCTACACCTATCTGCAATCACCCATCCACTCCCAGCACAGTTCCTGAGCTTTTCACAAACCCTTCCCAAGGACCAAAGTTAGGCCAGTGCTGCAAGTGGCCAGAAGCAGCTTGATGGGAGCAGCTCTGACCTCGCTCCATGGCCCCAGAACTCCAGGGCCTGGGAGTGGGGACAGGCTCAGAGGTGGAGCAGGGACACAGACTTAGACCTCCTTCCATCTCAAACTCTAAAGCCCAAGCCTTCCTCCATAATGTCTACCTAGCCACCCTAAGGGTAAATTTGACTCTACTAAATGCTGACACTATTTTGAGCATTTCCATTGAAAACAGATGGGTAACGTGAGGTCACTTGATTTGAACACTCGGATTTAAAGCTCTTCTCTGCCAGAAGCAGGTACACATAACAGCCAAGTTCTGCTGCCCCTCTTAGAAAAATCTAGAACTTTGTCTTTGTCCCCTGTCTCTGTCCTTCTGATTCTGTGCTTCCTCATTCTCCAACTCATTGAGTGTCAGCCCATGAGTTCAGCCAATATTCATCGAGCCCCACGGCGTAGAGAGTAGCACTGTGACAGGGACTCCTGCCTTGCGCTGGGGGAGACGGGCGGACCCCTCAGAAGATACTTTCCATCTTCTCTCATCTTTGCAGACAATCTGATCAACAAATTTGCACTAAATTGTAAATAACTGATAATGCATAAAACAGCAATGGTCCTTAAGGGTAGTTAGCAAAGTAGCAAATCTCTAATTGTAACTCCTCAAGAATCTCTCTGAAAAGCATTTGGGAGCTGCAGCTCTGCCTACAGGTGAGATCCGCTCTCCCAGACCATCTGCTTGCACCTCAGGCTTCCCAAACCTGTCCTGACTCCAGGCTCACCTTGAACTGAGAAGCCTGAGCAGGTGGCAGAAAAAAGCTCCATCAAGGAGACTGTGGAGTGATTGCAACAGGTCAACCTCCCTGCTGGGTAAATGTGCGGGACTCCTCAAGACCGTAGAGCATGCTGGTTAAGAGCCAAGTGCTCACAACTCCTTAGCTGTGGGCAAGCCACAGTCAACTCATGTGAAAATGGAGATGTCAGACCCAACCTCAAAGGGTTACCACTAAGGTGAAATCAGTGATTCTGCATTTCTACCTCCCCTCACTCACCAGTGCACATAACGCCCGCAAAAACCCAGCACTGTCCGTACTTCACAGGCTTCCCGCCCCTGGCTGACCACTGCCGCAGGATGGCCACGCTGCCATTCCACTCCAGCGGGCTGACCCCCAAGGAGTAGTCCTCTCCCCAGTTCCCCTGCAGCACGCCATTGTCATCATTGCTGTTGATCTGCAAAGAACAGATGGGTGGGTTTCCACAGTGGCTATGGAAAGCCCAGACTGCCCTCCGACAGGGGCGTGGGAGCTCTGTCCTCACCATGGCGCTCACCACCCTGCAGATGTACACCACATCACTCCTCTGGGAGCAGTCTTTGGACGGGTTCTCTAAGAAGTACAAGCTCTTGTTTAGGATCTCAAAGCAGATATCTATGATGTCCTCTTCAAACTTCCAAGTGATTGCAAGGGAGAAAAAAAAAAAAGAGAAGGGTAAAAATGTCTGGAATGCTGAAACTTCAAGCAAGTAACAGACTTTTAGGGAAGGTGTGTGTAGGAATGGGGCTAAATAGCAAAGTTCTGCCTTATAAATCAAAATGGGAATTCTGAAAAACTGACCTGTGTGGCTCTGATGGAAAATGCAAAGAGAATTCAGAGAGATGAAAGATCCTCATTGACTGAAGCGATCAGAGAAGGCTACTGGAGCTGGTGGGCTTTGAAAGGTGAGGTAGACAGGAGATAGGAGGGTGATGTCTTTGAGCATGGTGGGTACCCAGGACAGGGGCTTAGAGATCCTCATTTCTGAAGGACTTGTGGGAGAAAGTCAGAGAAAAAGAAATATAGGCTAAGGCATGTGTGGAGAGGGAGAGGAGAGTGGAGAGCCTTAAAACCAGGTGGAGGATTTGGCACTGACGTCAGCACAGGAGAAGCCAGTGAGGCTCATGCCATTCGTTTACAACATGTATTTGTGACATGTCGTAACCCTTTTGGCAGCCAAATGCACTGGTATTTGTCTCAGCTTCAAATAACCACACAAGCTGTCACAGTTGGAGACCAGGGGAGCTGATCTTCCTTAATAAGGCTTCCTGCTTCCCCCGATTCCTCCCTCCTGGTGTGTGGACAGACAGAAACTACACCAGCCATGACTGGTAGTTGAGGGTGGAAAATCTAGCCCCCTAACCCTGTATACTAAGTGGATATTTGATGTTATTAAATAATTGCTGTTCACTTTTCTTCAGTTCTGATAATGTATTGTGATTCAGTTTTTCAGAAAGAGTCGTCACCTTTTAGAGCTATATTCTGAAGTATTATTGGATTAAATGATATGGTATCTATCATTTGCTTAAAAAAAATCCAGTGATGAGGTGGAGTGGGTGGTGCGGTGCGGGAAGACTGGAGGAATATAAACTAGAGGTCAGCAAACTTTTTTTGTAAAGGGAAAAATAGTAAATATTTTAGACTTTGCAGGCCAGAGAGATTCTGTTTCAACTACTCAGCTCTGCCACTATAGCACAAAAGGAGCCACAGATGATACCTAAATGAATGAGCACACTTGTGTTCCAACACAATAGTATTTATGGCCCTGGCCAGGTGGCTCAGTTGGTTGAAATGTTGTCTCGTGCACCAAAAGCTTGCGAGTTCAATTCCCTGTCAGGGCACATACCTAGGTTGAAGGTTTGGTCCCCAGTCGGGGCACATGGGCACATACTAGAGGCAACCAATCTATGATTCCCTTTCTCTCTCTCCCTTCTTTCCTCTATTAAAGAAATAAATAAATGGTTCCTCAGGTGAGGATTTTTTAAATGGTATTTATAAACACAGAAATTTGAACTTTATATAATTCTCACATCACAAAATATTATTGATATTTTTTCCAACAATTTAAAAGTGTGAAAGTCATTCTTAGTTTGTGGGCCATGTGAAAACAGAGAAGCCACGCTTGGCCTATGGGCTATCGTGTGCAAACCCCTGGTGTAGGTGAGACAAGACTTACCATAAATTGATCACTATTGAAGCTGAGACAGATTCGTACAAGTTCACTGTAGTAGCCAGTCTGTTATGATTAGGTTTTAAGTTTTTCACTATAAAATATTAAAAACTAAAAAGGAGCCCTGGCTGATGTGGCTCAGTGGATTGAGTATTGTTCTGCAAACCAAAGGGTCTCTGGTTCAATTCCCAGTCAGGACACGTGCCTGGGATGCAGGCCAGGTCCCCAGTAGGGGGCGCATGAGAAGCAACCACACACTGATGTTTCTCTCCCTCTCTTTCTCCCACTTTTCCCCTCTGTCTAAAAATAAATAAATAAAATCTTTTTTAAAAAACCCTAAAAAGAAAGACATCTCCCTTTCCTTCTTTGCCTCTCTCACTGGATGGGAAATTGGTCCAGCACCGCACACCTGGACTTGTTAGTGGCTATTTGTGAGCCCACCTTCCCAGATAGTGTTACCTGCCCATAGTTCCATGGCCAGGAGGTGATGAATCTCTCCTGACCCTTGTACACAAAGCCGTAGTCCATCATGATATACTCCTGCAGCAGTATTTCACTTGGCAGATAGACATCATCTTCTGAGCAGTTAAGAGGAGTGGAGGGGGTAAAACACCAAATCAAAAAAAAAAAACACACAAAACAACAACAAAAAAACAGAGTAGTAAAAATGAAAACAATCATGAAAATTACCTTTCTGGAAAAAGGAGAAGCAATGAGGTGATGAAAATAGAAATCAAGAGTGGACCCCTTAGAAGTCTACTATACATTTTTGTAGAGGCCAGAGATAAAATCTATACTTTAAAAAAATAATGATGATCTTTGGTTGGTTGTAAAAGCAGCAAGATTGTTGTAGAGATTTGGAAAACGTAGATGATAAAAAGAAGATAATGAAAACCACTGATTCCCACTCTTCAGAGACACTCATGTTTTGGTGTATTCTGGCCACTCTCTTTTTTCCCTGCACATATATGTAATATATTATGTATCACATTATGTTCCATCTCCTAATCTATTTCACCTAATCTCACACCATATAAGTAATTTCAAAAGAGTGTATGGAACCAAAATGTGGAGCTCTTAATGCTGTGACCTAAGGCTAAAGTTCTTCATGGGACGTAATAGACACTCAATAGTGCTATGTTTTCCTGGGGAGATATAAGATTAAAAAAGAAAATCACATCATGAAGAGTTTCATCATGCCACTAAAAATTCCTTGTAAAGAAGATTTTTGGTGAGCACAAGGCAACGTATTACATAGATGTGCAATGTTTTATCTCCTGGGCTTTCTGAGTAGAATTTTACAGAACATTCCCAATGGATCAAGTTGGCATTACCACCTGTGAGCAAGCTGTACCTGCGCTCCAAGGATTAAAAAGCAGGAAGAAAGTCCCCAGGGAGTGAGTCGAGCTGTAACCCTGGCCTTGAGAGGTCTCTATCTTCAGAGTGTAGGAGCCAATGACTGCATTGGATGGTGTGAATAGGGAGACACAGAGCAAGTTGGAGTCAATGGAGAAGTCAGAAGCACTCCAGACATTCCCTTGTTGGGTCTGGGTGAGTGAGAAGGTGGCTCGGGTTCCTGACAGCTCCGTGGGTGCTGGTCCTGTGTAGAAAAGAATGACTCCAAAGTGAGGTTCAAAAATCTACGTGACATGATTCCAGGCATCCTGGAACGACCCTCACCTTTTCCCAACACTTGTTGATTCTCTTGGTTTAAGGTTTTTACTGCCACTGGGTGTCCTTGGGCAAGCCATTTAAGATCTCTGGGCCTCAGTTTTTAATCTGTGAAATGGGACCATAATAGTACCCACCTGAAAGTATTGTCACAAGGATTAAACAAGTTTATGGGTCTGAAGTTTAGAACAGTGCCTGTAGTATATTTAAAGGTTGGTTGTTATTATCACAACTTGAGTTTTGTGAGTTTGCCAAATTCTTTCTTAACAACACTAATAGGGTGCTAACAACTTCCTGAGGAATCCAAGGAGAAGAGAGGAAGGGCAGCTCTGAAAAGAGAGGTAGGTGCCCTACAGGTAGACTTTGCCGTGGGGAGGGTGAACTCACCAGTCTCAGCTATGAAGGTAATGCGGTCGGTCCCCCAGTGGAAGGGTCGGTTGAAATGCAGCTGGAGCATGAAGGGCTGGCCCCGGCGCACAATGAGCCGCTTGAGGCCCATTTCCTGCGTGTGATGAGCCTGGTTGTTCCTGGGGCTCTGCAGGTTGACAGACCTGAGCTCTAAGGCTGCCACTGGGGGAGAGGGGGGCACAGGTCACTGCCCACTATTGTTCCCTGGGCTCAGCATCATTCCCTGACATTGTCAATCATTTCTGTGGCACCTGGCTCTGACTTAGGTGAGATTCCAGACCTTAGGCCTTCTGCCACCCACTCCCTAGTTGCAGGACTCCGTGTCAGAGGGTGATCCAGCAGGCCCTGGCCCGAGAGTGTGGGCACAATGACCCCAGTGACCTCTGGGCCTGGACCCAGAGCCACAGTGCTTGGGAATTAAGGTCCCAGAAAGCAAATCATTTCTGGATAACTGAAACTTACCCCACCACGTACCATTAACCATTTGTGTTGATGTTCTTTCTATAACTTATTCTGCTGATTAAAAAAAGAGCAAGTAAGAATTTTGTATGAATTAAGTCAATGAGCTGACTGGAGGCTGGGACCTCAGCTATAGGCAAGTTCCTACTTTAGGATACAGGGCAGGTGGAAGCCTCAGGGTTACTTATAGGTTATTTCTTGCTTCTCAACCATGTTGCCAGTATATGAAAGCACTTACCACTGCTTCCTGAGGTGCTACTGTATGGGTATACCTAGTGTACAGTTTAAGAATTCTCATTTGGACCTAAGGAGGAACACACCAAGATACATCATAATTACATTAGCCAAAATTAAAGATAAAGAGAATATCTTAAAAGCAGCAAGAGCAAAGGAGACAGTAACCCACAAAGGAGTGCCCATTAGACTATCAGCTGATTTCTCAAAAGAAACCTTACAGGTAAGAAGGGGCTCAAAGTCATGAAAGGCAAGGACCTACAACCTAGATTACTCTATCCAACAAAGTTATCATTTAAGATGGAAGGTTAGGTAAAGTGCTTTCCAGATAAGGTCAAGTTAAAGGAATTCATCATCACCAAGACCTTGTTATATGAAATGTTAAAGGGACTTATCTAAGAAAAAGAAGAAGATCAAAATCATGAACAGTAAAATGACAACAAACTCACAACTGTCAACAACTGAACCTAAAATACAAAAACAAAAACAAACTAAACAAACACCTAGAACAGGAACAGAATCACAGAAATGGAGATCACATGGAAGGTTATCAGCAGAGAGGGGGAGGGGGAGAATGGGGAAAAAGGTACAGGGAATAAGAAGCATAAATGGTAGGCATAAAATAGACAGGAGGGAGTTAAGAATAGCATAGGATATGGAGAAACCAAAGAACATATATGTACGACCCATAGACATGAATTAAGGAGGGGGGTACTGCTGGTGGGAGGGGGGTGCAGGGCAGAGAGGGATAAAAGGGGGAAAATTGGGAGAATTGTAATAACATAATCAATAAAATATATTTAAAAAGGAAGAATTCTCATAACACTATAAGCCTGTAAGAGTGCAGGCTCTCACTGCCTGAACTGTGAGTCCTTGAGTTATTTAAAGTCCCTAGACATCAGTGTCCTCGCCTGAAAAATGGAGACAATGCTAATCCTACCTCACAGGGTTGGTATGGGCATTAAGTGAGAATTCACAGGTAAACCTTAGCATAGCAGCAGGTACAAAATAAGCACTCCACCAAAGGAAGGGCCTTCATTAGTTGTTCTTAGTACTAGTAATAATGCAGCCTCAGATTGCATTTGCTTTGCTGTTTTTGCTGGTGATTTTTATTGTATTTCTGTCAACAAAAAATCTATTAGGTCTTTCCCCCTAGCAGTTCACTAATTTATCTCAGTGGTTCTCAGCTGGGGAAAGTTTGTCCCCTGGAAGACATGAGGCAATGCCTGGAGACATTTCCAGTTGTTACAACTAGGGGAAAGGCTGCTACTGACATCTAATGGGTAGAAGCTGGGGATGCTGCCAAACATCCTGCAGGAAAATCTCAAGTTTGCTCCCAGTCACGATGTAAACGTGGGTCACAGTCAAAAAGTTTGAAAAAAAAAAAAAAAACAACTGGCCTAGATCCTGTTGGAAACTAGTTGCATATCATTTGTTCCTAAGGGTCCTGACATTTTCGTTCCAAGACCTACTGAGCCTTCCCAGAAAGTCCTTCCACCCCAGACATAGTGCCCAATGGCCATTCCACTCTGAACGATCAGATACCCAGAAGAGGCAGTGAAGAACACACTTCCACAGGGAGGGCCAGTACTGGGGGCAGCCTTTTCCTGGCTGCTGTTCACAGCTCAAAGCACAGTCCCCATGGGCAGCCAACTCCATTTTCCCTTGACCCAGGCTGACTCTTGGTTTAGGGAAAAAAGGGAGGAGGAAGAAGAGAGCTGTCTTCCTCTTCACACCCAAAGTTGCAGTGCATAGAGTAAGCCCATTCTCCACTGGAGGCTCAGGTTTTCTTTTTTAATTCCATTTAATATAATTATGCTTTTGGCCCACTGAAGTGCCTTTCATGTCAGGGAGACAATGACTTCAGAGAACCGAAGGGAGGGCCTTCAAAGGAGCAGGAACAAAAGCTAAGAGATCAGAAAGAGGTTCAACAAAGCGGGAAATCAAGCAGAATCAATTAGTGAAAGCATGTCAGTGCCCACAAGGCCTTCCTGACTTGGCCACTGGCCCACCAGAGTTAGTAACAAGTAAGAGGAGAGGTAAGCCCCAGCCACATGACTCCTGGTGCTTGATTAAATACAAAGACAAGGACATAAAAAGGATCAAAATATATCCCCATGTATTACCAGTCTTTGAAAAAAAAAAAAAAAAGAAGACGTTAAAACAGCCCTCTCTGCCTTCAGTGAATTCTGAGATGGGAAGCTCTTGTCCTCTGAGAGATCAAAGGTCTTGTGGAAGGTTTTATCTCTCCCTTTGAGTCTCGGCTCAGAGGTAACCACCGATCAAGGATTTTCTTTGACCTTTGAAGATGATGCCCCACCTCCTACCTATGGTCACTTACCATCTCAACACCCTCTTTGTTTTCTGCAGAGCACTTAATCACATCTAGAATTAGTTCCACAAAAGCAGAATCTTTGGCTATCTTCTCACACCTGCTTAGGATGGAACCTGGTTCCTAATTACTGATAATTATAATTAATGTTCTTACTTAATTCTTACTACATGTCAGGCGCTCTCTGAAGTGTTTTACATGACTTAAATCATTTGTATTCTCACAACCACGCTCTGTAGAGGTGTTAGTATTGTTCCTGACATGCAGAGCAGAACTGGGATTCAAATCCAGGTACACTGGCCCCAGAGCCTGTCCTCTAGCTCTTTACAATCTTCTGCCTCCCCTGTGGGTGTCTAGAGATGTTTGCTGAATGGATATGTGTATATGTGCATGAAGGAGGAGGTAGGTGGCCTGGCAGAAGGGAAGTAAGGCTGTAGAGGCACAGAAGGAGAAGAGCTTGTGAGGGCAATAGCACCAAGCTGCTACTGTTGGCTTCAGTAGTAATGTGCACACCTATTCCTGATGGGAGAATAAAAGCTATATACCTCTCTGAGGGCAATATATCAATATTTATTACAAAATAAAAGAAAGCCTTAAAACACAGATACCTTTGAGTCATAAGTTCCTCTTCCAGGAACTTTTTCTTTTTTTAAAAAAATCATAATTTGGGCCTGGCCATTGTGGTTCAGTTGGTCATTCTGTAGATCAAAATGTCGTGGGTTCAATCCCTTGTTAGGGTGCATATGAGAAGGCAACCTATTGATGTTTCTCTCTCATGTCGATGTTTCTCTTTATCTCTCTTTCTCTCTCCCTTACCCTCTCTCTAAAAGCAATGAAAAAATGTCCTCGGGTGAGGATAAAAAAATCATAATTTGTGTACAAAAATGTAAGCATAAGGATATTCAGTGCAACCTAAATAATCTTAGAGTAAGAGTTGGATACACAAACTTTATTCCTCTCATCTTGATATAATCAACAAAAAAAGGACAAAGAGGGATTCCAGCTAAGATGGAGGCATAGGTAGAAACCCTTCACTTCCTCGCACAACCAAAAGGAGGATAACAACCAATCTAAAATCAATAACAACCAGAAGTGCCAAAAAATCAAACTGCATGGAACTCTGACAAAACAATTACAAAACAAGAATTACAAAAGAATTACAAAACAGTCAACCAGAAAAAACAGACTGGTAAGATGGGCAGACAGAGAGAACCATGGCAAGGCTGAAAAGGAAACTGAGCCTCAGAGCTGACTGTGGACTATGGCAGTTGCCACGGTGGGAGAAACTCCCAGTCTCACATGAGAATTCGTTGGAAAATGGACATAGAGCCAAGCAGACGAGCTGCATTATTCCCTCTCTGGCCCCTCTCCCACAGACAGCACCTAGTGCAGCAAGGAGGCCTGCCCTGACCTGGTGAATACCTAAGGCCCTGACCCCTTACAAATTAACAGGTGCTCCAAGACAAAGAAATAGGGCCCAAATGAAAGAACAGAGCAAAACTCCAGAAAAAGAGCTAAGCGATGAGGAGATAACCAACCTATCTGATGGAGAGTTCAAGGCCCTGGTAATCAAAATGCTCACAGAACTGACTGAGCTTGGTCACAAAATGAAAAAACAAATGAAGGATACCCAAAATGAAACAAAGCAAAATATTCAGGGAACCAACAGTGACAGAGAGGAAACCAGGACTCAAATCAACAATTTGGAATAAAAAGAATAAGCATCCAACTGGATCAGAATGAAGAAACAAGAATTCAGAAAAATGAAGAGAGGCTTAGGAACATCTGGGATAATTTTAAATGTCCCAATATCTGAATCATAGGGGTGCCAGAAAGAGAAGAACAACAGCAAGAAATTGAAAACTTATTTGAAAAAATAATGAAGAAAAACTTCCCCAATCTGGCAAAGGAAATATACTTCCAGGAAGCCCAGAGAGTCCCAAAGAAGTTGGACCAAAGGAGGAATACACCAAGGCACATCAACATTAAGTTACCCAGGATTAAAGATAAAGAATCTTAAAAGCAGCAAGAAGAAAGGAGAGAGTTACCTACAAAGGAGTGCCTATAAGACTATCAGCTGATTTCTCAAAAGAAATCTTGCAGGCAAGAAGGAGCTGAAAAGAAGTATGCAAAGTCA